AATACTAAAAAGACAGTATTCTTTCCTTCTATTTAAAGTATACCATGCAGCACTTCCTTTGGAGGAATTGAGAAGTAATTATCATCATACCACCATTTCCTCAGTGACTAGATTAACAACAGATTATGGGGGTCCAGAGCTGGGGAATTTAGCCTTGTTACCATTTATAGGTTCTCTCTGTGTCCTATAATATATTTTCCCATTAGCTGAAAGTGCCATTTCAGGAAATTGCCTTAAGGGTTGCTTTGATGTGGGGTGGGGGTGAGGGAAAAAAGTAGTTGCCCTGCTCCATGTAGCTGTAGACAGTTACTTAGTGAGAAGCAGGTATGTGATTTGCTTATTTGTCAAATCTTTTCCATTTATTGTTCAGTAGGATGCCATCTTCAAAGTTCACACAGACCATGGCATCTCATCCTTTTAAAGTTAGTCAGTAATAGGCTAAAAAGAATGAAGGGATGGTAATAAATGACCTGGTTACAAAATTCTAGTTTTGTTATTTGCTAAATCTTATTAGAATGGAATACCATCTGTATTAATATTAATTAATCATAGCTTCATGGAAAGATATTTGTCTCTTATCCTCAGGACTGGTAATTGTACTGAGATTATTTTCCTTTTGTACCATCACTGCTCCTGACAGCACTACTCCTCTTGGTCTAGAATAGACCAACTGACAGTCCTGAAGGCTATGTGTAAGTTGAACATTTCTTTAAGACCTCAGTAGATTTGATTTGTGGTTTGAGACCTTTACTGTCTCCTGGCCCATATTCATTGAATTTTGAAATTCTTACATGTCCAATAAGACAGTCTCACAGGTGAATGTGTTTGGTCTCAGATGTCAGTCTCAAGTACATTTACTCTTTTTTTTTTCCTGTTGCTGCAAATTCATGAAGAATATGTTATATTTTTACATAAAGTATTTTTAAACCTGAATGAATGAGATTGTTGGGTGAAGGAAATCTAGCAACTGAGACTCTGGATAAATTTGCAAGTAGAGAACCCCATGATATGGTTTGGAGCTGGCTCCCTGCCAAGTCTCCAAACCTTACCACAAGAAGTCCCCCCCCCACCCCAAACCAAGGGAGAAGAGGGGAAAAAAACCCAAAGAACCGAAAACGAGAGAGAGAGAAAGCAATATATAAAAATATATTTATACTTATATTACAGTTATGTACAGTTGAAATATATATACAATTTCACAGGGAAAAAGGGAAAGGGGAAGGGAAGAACAAAAACCAAAATAATATATATATATATCCCGATCAGTAGCCCAAGGTCTATCAACTAAAAGAATTAGCAAAGAATATCTTACTACTCTCCTTGGGACAACGGAGAGTCACGCTGGAGTGACTGCCGGCAGCCTCCGCCTCCCAAGGTCCACAAGGCCTTACCAGGCCTCACTCCCCAACCCGGCAGGGAACCTGCACCTCCAAAGCTGCCGGAAGGAAAAAGCGCGAAGGCCTTTCCTCCCTTCTTCTTATACCCCGGCTTACGTAAAAATCGTAGGGAATACCGGGTAAATCTGGGCACTTCCTTGGTTACAAACTGGTCATGAAGGAAGACCTAGACCAAACTACCACACCCCATAATTATCCAATTCCTTGCAGAGACAACAAATGTAACAACAGAAGTGAAAGGCCAGCAAGAGCCTTATGTGTTATTTATGAAAGACAATTTTTTTTTATTTGCACTATTTAATCTAAATCTGGAATAACTCAATTTTAAATGAGATTACTAAGGGAAAAATTTTCCCCTAAACAACTTGTGAAATTCTACTTTCCAACTGTTTTTTAAGGATCCTTTCAAAAGTGAAGCTGCTCTTCCAGCAATATGTTTTGCGCAAGATCATCTGTGAACATAAAACTTCAGTAATGTTCTTGATCAAATACAATAGATCCTGGGAATACTGATCTACAAATTGATTTATATTCTCATGTGATTCATTATGAACAGTTCTTTTTACATTTTTTTCCCCTCCTATTAATTCAGACAAACCCCACACCTAGACACAGGATGACTATAGTGACCATTGTTAGGATTAGTGGGGGTTTTGTTTTAATTGTTATGTACAGAGTTGTTTATATATAATGTGCATTTGTATTTTATTTTGCATAAAGTCTAATAATAAAACATCTTTATTTCCAAGGGTAATTCTATTGGATTCTTACATTTGAATGCCTCCTGGTCTTCCACATGAAGACATCAGATGAAAAGTAGATCATCTATTTTAGTAGTAAATCTGATCAGGGATGTTGTGCCACTTCATTTTTAACCCAATGTTAATTTGACAGATGTGTATTTAGATAGTCTATGTCATCTGACTAATGGAAAAAACTTATTCCTCCAAAGAAACCATGTGTCTTCTGCACCTTTTCCATCTCATTTATGCATGTGTACAGATAGGGCTAACTATTCAAAAGATATTAATATGAAAATTATGTCAATTTATTTTATAATCAGAACAGAGCATGACTGAAGCAAATCAAGTATGCTTCAAGGACTGTGTGCCAGACCTCCTTGTCAAGAGCAGGTGGTTGAAGAGTCAACAATATGACATAAGCGCTTTGAGTGTGATCCGAATGAGCATAACTGATTCACGACCACATGGTATCTATATATTTTGTGGGTGCCTTTATTCCAATCAACTCTGCATTGAGACATAAATCAGCATAGGGGGATGTTTTTACTATGCTGATCAATGAGATACGTCTTTTATATGAGGTGCATGGTTCTATACGTACTCAAGACCTCTTACAGATGCTGCCCCTATAATAGTGAATATTTGAAGAATGTTTTACTGACAAAGAATTCAAAAGTCCTTTTGATTTTTGGTTAAAATTAATTGCCATGATATTGCATGCTGATACTTGATTGACTGCTCATGCTTAATGACAAAATCACCAAAATCTCTCTGAAAATATTGTGCAATAAACATTCTAATCATTCATGAGCACTACAACACAGGATGGAGAGAGCGAATATCTAATAATTTGTTAAGAGCAAACTGACTTCCTCCTATGATGAGGTAACAGGTCCACAGGTAGAGAGGACAGACTAAGTTTCCAGATCTTATGTTTTGGGACTCTTTTGAATGGTTCCCTAATCAGAAAGCTAAGGAAATGAAGTCTTGTGAGTAAATGCAAAGCTGAATTAAAAGTGAAAATAGATAATAATGACCTAATTATATTGTTTAATTGGAATATATACTGAGAAGTTTCTACAGGGAGTTATTCTCAATTAAATATAGTTAAATATTCTCATGAATTATCTGAATGAAATAATAATATTATATGCAGTAAATTTGCATATGACAGGAGATGGGGGTTTCTGAACATGTGGAAAGCAGAATTAGAGTCCCAAATGATCTTGACAAATTGGAGAGATCATCTGAAAAAAATAGGATTAAGTTCAATAGGGAAAAATGCAAAGTGTTAGGCAGAAATAATCTGCACAAATACAAGATGGGGTAACACAATAGACAGCAGTTCTCTGGAAAAGATCTGGGAATGTGAATCAAATTAAACATGAGTTGATGAATTATTAAAAAGTTAAGTGACCAGCTAGTATGTATATGAAAACCAGAACGTAGTCCGCAGAAGTAATCTTCTAGGAATTTATACTGGTAAGGTCTCAGCTTGGAGCAGTGTAGCCAAGGACAACTTGATAAATTGAAGTTATTAAGCACTCAAAAAAGAAGATGGAAGGGTCAGGGCAATAATTGAGATGTAAAAGAACCACTCTGTTGTGAAGAGAACAGAGGTAGTATGTCCTTTTTGTTCATGGCAGACTTAAAAAGAAATAACAAGCTAAATTACACCAGAGGAGAGTTAGAATAGTTGTTAGGAAAATCTTTCTAAGCGTAAACATAGGTAAGCCTGGAGAGGTGGTGAAGTCACAATCATTAAGAACATATATAGTGACACAAATATTGATTCTCCCTTGAGAACAGTTTAGATGACCTTTTAAAGTCCTTTCCAGCTCTACTTCTTATAATTTTATATAAAGATAGGAATAGGTTTTGCAACTTTTCTTATCTCAAATAGCAGCCAGTACCATGAGGAGATCTAGCGAGTCACAGAAAAAATTCCTAGTCAAAATGAACAATATTTACCTGTGTACAAGAACTAGATTTGGTGAAGTTACTGCATAGCATTCTTGCTGTGTGAATTTTTTTGTTAAACTTATATTGACTTATATCAGGAAGTATTTAAAGATCCCTATTATAAATATAATGAAATAAATTGTAACTTCTGAAGTGATTTGATCTAATTAGAGAATAAGGGTGAGTATTTAGTAAAAATAATTCATGCTCAATTGCCCGTGGAAAGCTTTGGAAAAAGAAAGGTGTCTGACTCATGCCACCTTTATGTATACTCCTGCTGTTTTGGACTGCAGCTCTCTCAGGAGCTCATGTTGAAAGAGACCCACACAGAGCACTGTGTTCTGTGCACTGCTGTGCACTGTGTCCATGGCCTGAACTTCATCATCATCCCCAGTAGAATGGGAGAATGAGTTCTGTAAAGCCAGTGCACTGACTTTTTATAACCTGGGCTTTGTTTTTGGTTATTCTTCCAGAGCATATTTTATGCACTGCAAATGGGGTGACCAAGGAATGAATTTTGTCAATTTCATTCCTGTGTCTACCTGGAGCTCTCTCTTTTGATAGGGACCTGAAGTTCTGAAGTGTTACTTGAACACTGCTCTCAGTCTGTTATTGTTTAGGCTGATGATTAAATGCTTAGAGGGTGTAGTGGTGGAGAAATATTTCCACTATCCAAAAAATATATCAGTTTCTGAATATTTAGAGAAGCTTGTGAAACTCTTCATACCTTTCTGCTCCTTGAAGTCTGTGGTAACTCTTTTGTATGCTGTTTCCTTCCAGCTTTATGTACTACATGGTACCAAATATCTGTAGCAGAGATTGGGAAACCTCTGTTTAGCAGGTCTGGTTTATGGTTATGCTATAAATAGAGGTGAAACATGTAACTCATTTCAAGAATAATTTCTTCACTGAGATCACAGGATCATTTAAAGCTGTCCAAACACTTAGGATGAGTGTCCAGATAGTCTGTTTCTTTTTTTTTCTCAGGAAATTTGGAAGTGGGACAGCTTACTCACTGTAGATGATTCATATCTTTATATCCTAGTTTGAAGCGGTTCACCACACCATGGCCACAACTTCAAAAGTGTCAGATGATCATCAGACATCACTCCTGCCTGTAAGACTGATTGATTTCCCCAGCTTTCTAGAGTTTTCATAACTTACTAACCTCTGCCCCCAAACTCAAACAATTTAGGTTCAAGAACAAGCATTAGGAAACTGTTTATGAAATAACGAATATACTAAATTCCCGAACAGACAAATCTCTTAAATCCAGAGCTCTGGGGACTCAAGTGCAGAGATTCTCATGGATGCTTAAAGCACTTTTCCATGTTCCTTTACAAAGGTTTTATCTTTTCCAGTTTTAAATCTTTTTGTCTAGACAGCAGTAAGTAACTGGCATACCTTTCTCTCAAGAATGGTATGGTTAAGTCTTTCAGATAAATATAGCTGGATATTTAAATACAAAAATAAATGTCTAAAGCTCTACTTATTAGTAGCATCTGTCTCATGCTTGATGTGTACTTCTCAGAAATATTCTAATACCTACAGGGGCTATATTTAAGTAACCTTGCTTCTGCTTTGGTGATCACATGTCATGCGCTGCCTATATTGTTGATTTTGTTGCTAAGACCCGCTGTGAGTTCTAGTTTCCAGTGTTTCAGGTTACATGTTTAAACCTGGCCTTCCAACTGTTTCACGCTATCCTGTGTGTCCCCATCTACTAAAGCTGATACTCTGGAGGCCCTCTCTTTCCACACTGGTCCACATTGGCATGAAAAATTGAGTGGAAAGAGGAGTTAGGATTACAGATTTTTTTTTTTTTTTTGTTTATGATAGTTGTTAAATTTCCATTTTGGAAATGTTACTAAGAGGAAGACTTAGGAGTCACATATTGGGTGTATGTGGTCAGCAGATCGGCCTCCGTCACCTTCTCCCTTCCCAGAGCATTGCAGCCATTAAGGAACAAAACCCAGAAAACATGATGAACCTAGCAGACAACAAAGCTGAGAAGCCAAAGAGGACTAGAGAAAAAAAAATTTTACTTGAAAACACTTTCCCACAAGCCTTTGATTTGACATTTTTCATTAGAACAGATAAGGAAAAAAATTGATCTCATGGACATTATTTGGGGAGTTATATTTAGGCTCACTTATGTTACTCGAAGAGAGCTCCATGTACACCTGTGAGGTTTTAAGTAAATTACAATACAAAGTGTCAGTGAATTCCAGTGTGACTTGGCCTATCCCAATTAAATTGTGTGCATGATGACATATCAGTCAGCGTGATAGGGCTTCACTTCTGCAAGTAGAAACCCATCATGCACTGTGTTGTGGAAATTATTGTTCCATGCCAAAAAGCTGTATGTTACTCTCTCTATCAGGCACAAATCCGTTCCTCTCACTCTCTAGATATTTTCTGTAAATGGCTATGGGTAGTTTGTGTTTCTTCAGTGACTCTAGATTTGTATAAATGTTTTAATGCATTGTAAAATTTTTGGCAACATGTTAATACTCCTTTGATTAGAACAGCCACTGTTGTTTGCTTTTATATTTAGAGCAAAGAAATGCAAACATCCTTACCATCAAGAGCGCTAAGTGGGGTAGTACTGAAGGTAGGTTATTTTGAATCTCTGTACTGCCTGTATTCTAAGCTTAAGTTTGTATGTGCCTGTTTTGCCATCTGGTCCACCAGAAGCTACTGTCTTTCAGAATGCAATAAAACCTATTTTCTGAAGACATGTTATAGAGAGATAAAGTGTAGAGGAGAAAAAAATTCAAACCAAACAAATTCATACACTGAGGTCGACTTTACCTTAGAAGAGTTGCTTGGATTTTCATACCCCCACACTGGCTCATTGATCTACATGCCAAAAAGAGCTAGTTGGTTTTGATTTACAGATTCTACATTGTTTAGGAGATTATAGTCTAATTCTCCTTCTGCTGTGACTAGTCAGGGCATGAACTGCAGTCATAATGATAGGCACTCTGTTTCTGGATTTTAGCATGCCAGGCAAGGAAGTCACTTCAAAGTAAAGCTGAAACACGTGAAGAAGTTGTGGGGGAGAGAGCACTAGCAGGAGGAAATTAGTTTGACCTTGGCTTATTTAAGAGTAATGTATGCTGATGAATTGGTGAATTTAGGCACTGCTAAAATGGATAGTACAGGATGGAAATGATATCTGCCTTTTATTAATAGAGTTGGTATAAAATAGCAAATGTAAGAAAAATGTAATTTGGACAAGGGATCCATTTTAATGGGAAAATACTTTGTTGTCAATGGTAATTGATATTATTTGTATTGGAGTTGTGTTCAGGGTCTGCTTTGAGATGAGAGCATAGGGAGGAACCACACTGCAGTTTTTGCTCTGTATATGTCTAAAAAGATTCCCTGTCTTCACAAGTCACAGCTCCCACAGGGGTGGGATAAAAGGAGTTCCTGCTTACAGAAAGCAGTGAGGGCAGGAGCTTAATGTCAGGACTTTGACATATCCTTGAAATTACTTGGTAAAGTTTAGTTTATAGATGTGTAAAGCTCTTCTAGGCATTTTGGTATCTTTCAGATTTTTCTGGTGGGTTTTTTTGTGTGGTGGTTTGTTTTTTTTTTTTATTTCTTTCCCCTCCTTCTAAAGTCTGGCCTGGGATCTTAAAAGATGCTATAGTTTAGAGCTTTGTATTCACAATATTTGGCTCTTCCTAATCTTTTATTTTAGTTCACTCTATTACAGCACAAATGAAGTAAAAGAAACCCTTGACTGGGACCCTGGATATTTGTTTGTAATACGCAACTTATTTGCTATATTTTGCCTCTTTGCAGACAAACATGATCATCTTTCCTTTGATATTTTAAATTATTTCCTTAATTATTTCTGGGACTAATTTCTAGGCTGTTGCTTGTTCAAGAGTAGTCTATTGTGTGGTCTAATGACAAAATTTGAGCAGATTAGGCTTGCTAGTACTTGCTTCTATCTCAAATAGATGAGTGTCATTCTGAGGGCTGAGTTTCTGACACAATATTTACAATTATAACCTAAAAAGTTGCTTTCTGTGCATATGCTTGAATAGTCAATTAAGATTCTTTGTCCTGGTTTCAGTCAGTAAATTTGCTCATTAGGGTGTTTTTATGTAACCACTTTTTGATCGAGACATCTGTGGAAAAGTGGCAGGGAAAGGTTAACAAGTTAAACCAAATATTAAACTTTAAAAGACTTTAATTTGTGAGACATTAAAGCTGTCCTTGGTGTAAAATAATCCATATCTTGATTCACAAGTTTATCTTCGTTCTGGAAATACCTCAGCTTGGGAACTACACAGAGATTTTAATTTATGTGTGTACCTCTCTCCTATTGAATGTACTCAGCGTTATTTTGCTCACCTGGAGATCTACTTGCTCTAATAGATGGAGGCCAAGTTTGTTTTATAACTTAAATACTAATGTATATCAAGAAACCCATATTTCTTAGAGGAAATTTGATTTAATCTGAAAGCCTAAACACTTCTAACTGGATTTGCTTACATCCCATCTGCACACATGCATGTTCCTTACTCCTTGGCAGTGAAAAATATGCAAATTCTCAGATGTTGGCGTTGTAGAACCCCTTTCTTCTTCCTCTCCTTCTTTCCTCTGCCCTATAGTTTTGGATTCAGGGACCAGAGAGGTTCAGTTTGGGTATTGCATTACAATGTTGGCACTATTTTGGAAAGGAAAATCTGAATCCTTTTTTGGCTGAAATCCTGAATCCTTTTTTTTCTCGTTTCATACAGTGAGTATCCCCACAAGTAAAAAAATATGGATGCAACTGCAGAGCCAAATTAAGTGGTATCAAAATCATGGTAGCTTTAAAATCATAGAGCTGTGTGGAAGACTGTTTCATCTTTTACCTGCTGTATGTGATATAATAACATTGATATATGTTTGAGCAGCCATTTGGGATTTTATATATCAGAGAGACTGTGTATTTTGAAATTTAATCCTCATGAAATATTTGACATCCTGAATGGGATAATTGACACAGGGACACTAATTAAGGAGCTGTAATTCAGAAGGTTCTGATCATGTACTTTATACTGACATGTATATTGTCCCCCTGGTAACAGTGTTAATGGTGCTTAGACATGTATATCAGGAAAAGAGAACATTCTCCTGGGAGCTCTGGAAATCAATCTCCTATGTAATGCCATTTTATAATGCTCTAGAAGGAGCGGATTTACACATTTTTCCATTTATTAAGCTGTTCATACATAAAATATTCTGTCTTTGAGATAGTTTGACTCAGCTGGTGTTTTCATTCTTAAAATCTGCAGTGAATAATATCTTCCCCTGAAACTGAGCTTTTTGCCTAAACTGCTTTGCAGTTCTTAATTTTCACTTGAAGTCTTGGGTAAATCTATTCTATTTAGCTGAACTGAGTCCTGTTTACCTTACGCAGGAATTATTTCATCAACTCCTGAAATGCAAAACCCTCTGTAGCAAGAACGAAAAGGCAGTCTTATGACTGCAGCTCTGAGCTAAAGAACATACTTTCTCCAAGTATGATTTCATTCAGGTAGTGAGAGCAGAGCTGCATGAAGAAACAAAAAGGTTGGCCTTAGGCAGGTAGGTGAGGTCAGTTTTTTCTCTGTTTTCCTCCTGGCTTTGTGATCATACTAGGCATATAATCAGACTGTCTGCCTGCCCCAAACAGAGCATTCCTTTATGGCATTTTAACAAATCCAAGACCTCTTGAACTCGTCTTACCAGACTTTTCAAACTTTCTGCATGATCATAAGGCTTAAGTCAGGAAATACTTTTAAAGCACTCATTTGCTATAATGTAAGTGAATACAGAGACACTTGTTAATACTGTTTAAGGTGCATTACTCTACCACTGTAGAAAACAGAAAAGCAAAGGACAGGCTAAAATCCATTTAAAATTGCTGGAGTCTGGCAAAATGTATTTAGCAAATCTAAAACCACCTGGGGGATATTGATCTCACTCTTGAAAAATGTGTAGAGGAATTTTTAACTTTTTCAAAATTAAGCATTTTTCAGGTCTCCTGGTGTGCAGCTTATACAGAAGCTGGCTCTTTCTGCAGTACAGCATGTCCTCTGATGCTCGTTTGGACATTGCTCCAGCAATGAGTCAGAGTTCCAGCTATTGTTTCAGTAACATCAGTTCCTGCCGTGCTGGGGGTTTCCCCTCTCATTTCTTTCCCGAATTATCAGCCAGACTCAACCCTCTTCTGTTCATAAAATCCAATGGGAGGCCCCAGATTGGGCTAGGGTGGCTACAATATACTATTCATGCAATTCTAGCATTGCATTTACCCTGCAGAAGAAATGGCTATTCATTTTCATATCTGACATAGGAACCCAAATGCTTTGAGACACCAATGAGAGAACAGTCATTACGATACAGTGCAGACGGCAGTTCTTTGTCAAAAACCACGCTTTGGGAGACGCACCTCCTGTAATCAGCATATCTTGCAGCTCTGTGAGGCTTCTCTGCAGAATAGTCATGCTGTCATACCAGTAGTCAGCTTGGGGGGGAGAGGAAGTGGCAGATTGGCTTAAAAATGTTAACAATTACCAGTGTACAAAGATATTTGCACAGGGTGAGGAAGACCTTTTGCTGTTGAAAAAAATGCAGATAGGTAGAGAAGACGGTATATCTTGAAAACAAGACACCAACTGGATTGTTCTACTGCAGCTGTAAATTCAGACTAGATGAGACTGCAAGGAGCTGAGGGTATCAACCTCTTATGTCCTGTAGCAAAGGACATGGAGAATGGAAAAATGAACGCGTGATGTACAGGGTAAGCCAATGTTGTAAATGTGTCTGAGCCACCACAGTCACCCGGACTGGAATCCGTTATCATTTGGTCTAAAGCTAAAGGGTTATAAAACATACCTTTCACAAAACTGAACTGTTTATGGCAGATCTCATCTGTGCAACACACGTGCCACTGTGATAGGACTTGCTGCCCCAAACTTCTCAGATACACTTCATCTCATCAAGGCTAATGAGAGTAGCCATTACATGTGTTCAGAAGTGTCCTTGACTTATGGCAACGCCCACATCTCAGATGGTTTCAATCTTTCCAGCATGTGGATATTTCTAGAAGATTTTTGAAGTTGTTTTTAAACTTTTCATGCATGTTGCTTATGGAAATACAGAAGAAATTGTATGTATGTTCTTTTCTCTTATAAAGGTACTCATCTTAAATCATATCTTTTTCATATGTCCTTAACCTTGCACCTCAGCAGCAGACTAAAATAAAACTCATTCAGTGCTATCCTCAGAGATGGGCTAGGAAGTAGAAAGAGAAGAGGCTTAGTCAGACTGAAAAGTTGCTAGGTATTTTGTTTCATTTGTGATGCTTCAGCATGAGACATGCAGATTTCCATTTTAAATGCCTTTGAAAACACTGTTGGTAAATTTTCACAGTAATAAATATGCTTATTCTGCTTGAGGCTTAAACCTTCCACAAGTTTTTTTTGATTTTGTGCTGCTTACAGCCCTAGGACCCTCAATATAACAGAGAACAATGCTTTATTAAAACAAACTGCTGTATAAAATTCAGCTGGAAGCTACTTGGCCATTTCTGCTGCTGCTCTCAAGTTCCAGAGCTGCAGAGTTGGGTTAATGTAACATAACTTTCCCAAGAGCCTACAGTAGGGCTTGATACGTTTTCTGCTGTATAACCTCATCTTCCAAATTAACCTGAAGACAAATGGGACCTGTTTATTTGCTACTTCGAGACAGTATATTTGTCTATCATAGTAGCGTCTGCCTTGTATTTTGAGTAAACCTGAGTCCCTAAGGAGCTGGTTTACTAAGACCAGAGACTACCCTATGCACAAAAAAAGTCAATGGCACATTTCAGCATGCAACTTGACAGGGAAAAAATCAGCAGAAAAAACCATGAAAAATATTGTGGGTTATGGCATGTGTGCCTGATCTTTGGTTAAATGTCTTCCCCCTGTTCTCAAGGAACATGGCTTTCAGTTATGAGTACAGAATCACAGAAAACCTGAACAACAGCAGCAGCAGTGTGGAAATCAACCCATATACCTACACTTACTGAGTGGCTCCAGAAGATGTGGAAAAGCTGATTCAT